CGGCAACTTTACATGTAGTCAGTCTTATTAAGGAAGAACAGGTCGTCTTGGCAAGATGGCCTTCCGTACGGTGCTTCTCCTGCTTTCACTCGTAGGCTGTGGTAAGTTTCATTCTGTATGATAAAATGTTTTACTGTATTTCCAAGGCATATGATTCCTAGTTCTCTGCTCCTACATGAAAGGTTAACTGTTAGGCGGACGAGAGCTGTAGGTTTTCGAGAATACTGGTATAGGACGCAATATGCATTGTAAACTGTTTCGATTCACGTCTGTTTACGTGGTCAAAGCGCGCAAGGTTCAAGTTCATTTTGGAAGAGAAAGAATTATCCGTTATGGAGGTAGGAAAAGCATTATTCCATGTAGACGTACAAATTTAGGTTACATGTACAAGTACATGTACATCCACTGTACTTACTGTAGTACATTTACCGACCGCGCGCTATTGTAGATGCATTGCAAATGACCTACATGTAGCTCGCGCGTCGTTGTCTTATAAAGCTTAGGCCCTATTGTCCATGGTCTTAGCATGAAAGGAAGGACACAAACCTAGCTATGGTCTTAGCTATTGAAATTTATTGCATTTGTCATGTGTATCTGGTTTGGCCTATTTGCCTCGGAGCTAACGTTACATGCCTTGTCCCACAGACTGTTAATAGTCGAATTCAAGCGTTTTAAGGACTTTTTAAAAAACTGTAAGTACTGTTCTTACGTATTACAGAAACATGAGAAATAGGGTTTTTATCGTTTGCTTTAAGAAAATGTTAAAATGCACAAGAACACAGGTTGCTTTTCTTCAAATGGGCGATCAGTAAAATGCTAGTCGAGACTTAGTTTCGGTTGTTTGCAGTGGAGTTTCCATGGAGCGCGTTTTATTCGCTTTACGGCGCTCACCGTATTAGCCTGATTTTGCACAATGGTGGAAAGCATTGTGGGAAGGAAAAAGGAGCCAATATTGCCCCTTTTTCCTTCCCACAATGCCTTTCTACCATTGTGCAAAATCACCCATTATTTGCGATAAGGCTTATGCGATCGGAGACAATTGCCGAACTGCCAAATACTAATTGGCACGTTGAGCGAGGCACGGACTTAATCTCGTTATCTGTGTGGCTTTTACGCCTGCTGATTTCGAATTGTTTACCATGGAGGAATTTCTGCTCAGTTTTTAGTGTTAGTTTTGGTTACGTAAAAGCTCTGCGTAATCATGGAGAAAAGAACAGACTATGAAGCGAGATTTGAGACGGAGAGGAACCCCCAACCCGCTTTGTGTTGGTCATTGTTTCACTGGAATCTGAGGAATTCTTTTCAGACACTGGGGGGGGGATGTGTTAGGTAACAATAGTCTAAATAGTGTTTATAGCCATTAGACCTGTGGGGGGTACCCCTTGGTCTCTTTTCTTGCTGGAAGAGACTTCAACCTGTCCGGCACAACGCGTGGCAGTAGTGTTATTGTCAAGTTCTCCGTGTCCGCACGGAGACAAAACCTCGTCCCAGACCCCATACTAACAGTAAGGTGCATTTTGTCTGGCCTCTGAACTGAATTCTTTCCTCGCAAAAGCCTTTCTACAACTTTGCTTTTGCTCTTATTACTTAACAGGGGCCAATTTCATAGAGCTGCTTGAGCACAAAATTGCCTAAGCATGAAAAACAAATTATCATGCTAACCATGCTTATCATGCTTAAAAAACAAATTATCATGCTAACCAAAAGACAGCTAAATACGATCCCAAAACAATTTACATCTCAGGGAGTTTTGGCTGGTTACCTGATTTGTCAAACAAGGTTTTTAATGCTTAAGCAAATTTTGTTGCTTAAGAAGCTCTCTGAAATTGGCCCCTGACGGAGCTGGACTTGCTCGCACACCGGCTACCCTTTCGGACTTAAGTCCATAACCAGTCAGAAACTGCCGCTAGCATTGCTTTTGATAATAACAACAGCTGCAACCTCTTTGGTGGAAAACTCCTGCAGAGCTTGCCAATACTTGTTGGCTCTCTGCAGGAGCTTATGCCTGTAATTGAATGATGCCCGTTTCAGGTGTGCTTTAGTCTACCCTGGAGCATAGCCTATTTTGTGTTTAATCATTTCTCATTAAGGTACGTGCACTAACCCTTTCAGGACACAGTAAATTATTTCATTGACCATCATGAATACCGGAAATAAAAATTGTAAATAGAACGTCTACATAAGTGTCCAGACTTTGGTTTCTGGTTCCTGTTATTAGATATGTGTACATGAACATGTTAATCCAAGAACTGTTAATGAGTTGTTCGTGGATGAATGAAGGCCTTCCTCCATGAGTTGTTATGGCAGATTTTTTACACGCGGTGGACAAGGTGACTTTATTCATTACAGATGGGCCAATAAACAAAGTATGCAGAGCAGCCGTGGCAGCTTTGAGCCTGACTTTGCCGAAGGAACTAACTTAATTTTATACTGAAACGAAGCCAGACTTAAAACCCACAGTGCGACATTTTAGAAAATCTACTTGCTGGACGACATTTTGTGCAACACGAAGGACACGACAAATGAACGCGATGATAGCAACAAGAGCTTTCGATAATTCGTACTTGCTCGTGCTATCTCGGGCATCCATGAACCCGTGTCGCCTTGAATCAAGTTCCCCGAATCGTGCATGCCTTCACCCAATTGCATAGTCCCGATTATATACCAGCCGGCAACCGTTTGCAGAGTGTTATGTGCTATTTTGACCCCCGTGTTGAAAGTTCAGTGAAAACGACCAAACCAGATGCGACTTTGCATTTAATAGCCTTCTAGGATTTGAAGATAGGTTTTTTGAACTTCTGGTAACCAAGTGACCTTCTGATTTTTGTCTTTTTTAGTCATTTTCTTAAACGAAAACGGAATCCTTTGAATTGATTGAAAATAGTTCACGAGAATTAAGTTTCTGGAGATCAATTTGGAGTTGTGCTGTTTTTGTTTAGTCTAGGGATAACTGAAGGTATACGGGTTGGCAGAGCTACAAGGTGAACTGTTTCTACAGGGCAGGCTCCAGGTTAGATACCCCACAACGAAAAGAGTGTCCTCCATTCAAGCCACTTCATGATTCGTGTATAAACACGCACTAGTCTTTAATATTAATTCTGATAGGAATTTTGGACTTTCCAATGGTTATTTTTGTATTGTGAAATGATTATTACATGACTCAAAATATTTCTCAGTCAATCTTTAAATTGGTGATATTCATCCGCCGAGCTTATACAACCTTCTTCCCTTGAGTCTTCATGTCTCGAAAAGGAAAGGTCTGACGAGCTCAACCTCGAAAAATGTGCAGTATTTCCTTGCATTGTGTTGATGACAATAACAGCTTCACATCACAAGGTCTAAATTTTCATTGTTTTCTCCTTTCTGCCGAAACGCCTGGTTGGCAATTGTTGGCAGCGCTCTAAATTCGGCGATCGCCAATCTCTTTCGAAATTCAGTGGGTTGAGAACTTGATTCTGAGTGTCACACGGTGTCTTGTCCCTTTTTGACCCATCTTTTCTGTCTGAAAACAAAAATCAGTCAGGAAATGTTTTCCCACGAGGTCAAGCTTCACTTTCCTTCCCAGCGAGACCCGTCCCATGAGTGACGTGGCTTGTTGGGTCGAACAGGCGAGTTATTTTCGGGTCAGTGAAAGCTTGTTTGTTTTATTGCCACGGTCAAACCAAACAAACCATACCCCCACGGTCAAACCCCCGACCCTGTCAGAAAAGAGGTTGTTCGAAGCCAGCCGTATCCTGTGCAAAGTTTCCTCTTGCGTAGACTTGATGACCTCGTTAGATAAGAGTGTTCTGTCCGCGAACGTCGTCGAAATCCATTGGAGCACTTGCAATTTCGACTTTACCTAACTGAATGGTCTACTGAATCTTAGGGAGCATGCAACCGACGATATATGCCTCTGCTAGTGCTTCACACGCTGTTGACAATCACAGTCAGCTTTCCTTTTTGGCACTCTCTCATCAAACTAATACTTATGCTATAATTGCTTGTATTTGTATGCCACGCGAGAGAGGGCGTCGTTGCTGTGATGTCAATCTAGGCGCTCACAGAGTTTGAGGGATTTTCCGTTGTCATGGGATTTGACTCATAGTTCCTTGTGGATGGCTGGTAGTTTTGACCTTTCCAAGTCGAGGATTGTTTAATTTAATGGAGCCTTGAACGTCTCCCGTAATAGGGGGACAGCCCAACAGAAAGTTCAACATGCCACCCGTAAAGCGGCATTGTGCCGCAAGTTTCAGAAATTTTACTGGTTTTCTGAAATGGAACGCCACTGGTTGGTGACGTGTAAGTAATGATGGATCTCGTGCAGTGCACCAAGGTTCATACATCCTGTTTCGATCTGCTTTCCTCGAAGTACAAACATCGCGTGATCGACGAACGAAACCTGTTATTGTTCAACCTTGGTGACCAGCAACAAAGCCAAATCAAAGGATATCACATCGCAGCTTGTTAATTAAATTTCGCAACTTAACACTCTTGGGTATTGACCTATTTTTCCATGATTTACTTTTATTTTCGTCCGATGGAATGGTTTCTTGCGTAAACAATACGAAAGAAAGCGAAAGATTTCCCATGGCTAACTGTGTTCTTTCTTTTAAGAGACATTAATACTGTTTAAAGTATGTATACTTACGGTCGTTCCACAATAGTGCGCCTCCAAGAATCTGCAACGCACTGGCCAATCGTAATGTGCAAAATCTGTCGACCCATCACGTGACGCGTTTTAAAAGGGTCGACAGATTTCGTGCATTGTGATCGGCCAGCGCGTTGGAAACTCATGGAGGCACACAATTGTGAATCGTCCGTATCACAGATAGTTGGTCGGGAAAAACAAAAGGAATATATGTATACAAACTCCAATTAATTAATCTGGAGGCTGAAAGTCAGCCGAAAGAGGCATGAAGTATGAGACCAGAAAAATGAATCCCAAAAGTTGGCGGAAGTAAATTAAAGGACAGTTTTGTCGCAGACAAAAAGTCGTGTACAACAAAAGACGGGATAGGTTTGTGAAAATGCAGGAATCATGTTAATAAGAGCCTTAATGAACAGTATTATTACACCTGTTCATGGTGAGAACTATTGAAAAGTTAGTAACATCATGAAACTATTTAACACATTGTGTTTAATAGCTCTGTTGTAACATTTAGGGAAGCATTCCACTGAGATGTCGGCTGTTTGTTTTGATTGTCGTCGGGTTAAAGTTTAGTGACAAGGTCGTTGGGTGCGGGAAAATCTCAGCACTGTGCAGTTGTGTCGTTGATCGTGGAGCAATAAATTCTTACACTCGATCCCCAGGAATGTCTTAATTGTCAACAAACAATCGACCAGTAGCTAGCACCCTCTCCGATTTTTAGCATGATGAGAAATATTGCCAAGAATGTATTTGGTTTCGTATCACGTGTTTATTTTGCTTTGCTTTCATAGTTTTGTTTTGAAAACATTGCTTTTTTGTCAAAGAGTGATTGTTTAGAAATAAGTTATTCGACTCATTCTTCAATCTTGACACGACCGTGAGGTCGCCAAGGTCACATGGCACATTAGACTAGCCCAAGCCACTAATTGATTCAAAGGGTCCCACACTCCATCCATGGTTACTGGAAAAGTGATTTGGATTTATTGATATTACTGTTAGGTCCCATGCTCAGCAATCACCAGCAAGCAATTAATTACGGTATATGGAGTTAATGATGTTCAGAGATAGACACCGCATGTTTATTTTTGTGAATCTCTGTACTTTAAGCATTTCAAAACGGGCGTTTCATAATAGTGCGCCACCAAGAGTTTGCAACGCGTTGGCCAATCACAATGCGCGAAATCTGTCCACCCAATGCGCGGTTGGAAAGGATTGACAATTTCGCACTTTGTGATTGGCCAACGCGTTTTATTAATATCCTTGTTCCCATGGCCTAGTACTTCCTACCTCCACAGCGTTGAAAATGCAAAACACACCTTATGATAGTGTTCATTTTGAGAAACTTGCCTGGTGGTTAGCAGTTACACTTTTATACTTAATGAGGAAAGTGGATGAGAACCAGCGATGTGATTGTTTCATCTTCTTGTTGGGACAGGTTCTAGGGACGACCGTTCGTCGATCAGTCCTTGACTTTCAGTAGTAACTTGTCACCGAGACATGTACTACGCAACAGGCAGAACCTATGAGTTAGTGGCTGTCGCTTGAGACCTTGAGGCCGAATTGGGGAGAAAGATGGTTTGGTTGGAGACGTTTGGAAAATGTCTGTTATCATTCCAAAGTTCCAAACTCAAACAGAGAAGTGGCATCATAGAAGACAAAAAACACCTTATGCTGTTTTCACTTATAGTGGAATATGGACGCTCTTTTCTAAGTTGGTCGCTGGTATTTGGCCCGAGTATGCGTTTTCCCAACCATGCATTGCAGTGATCATTGGATAATTATATTTCCCCCGATATCATTGCAGGCCTCTGTTGGAAGCGCCCTATCAACTTCCCCGGTGTGAGGGACGAGTGGCCACCCATGCCCCTCCCTGGGATAGACGATAACGCCAATCAGATTACCTGTGACATCTGCGTTGTGGTAATCGGAGAAGTGCAGTCGCTGCTAAAGAACGAGTCCTCCAAGGTTGGCACTTTGTATTATCACCTGTGTGTATATATAATAGGCTTGCGTGGTAGCCATCTTGCAGGGCAGTCCTTTTAATCCATAGGGGAAACCCTCTTTGTGCGCACCCTGTACGAAAAAAGCACTGGCCTGCGAAATAGCAGCCATGCAAAATCGATTGGATCCCTTTCAGAACCACCTGTGGACTAGTGGAATCGACGACCACTTTTTTCGATTAGTGGTCATCGCGCAAAGTCGCCGGTAGTTACGGCGAGAGTTTGTGCACGACGTCACTCTGTGCCGAAAATGGGGGGCTGTTGTCAGAAGCTTGAGTCGAATGGAAACTGGAAGACGGACTTGGATATTAAACGGCTGTTACTGAAGCCAGAGCTTCCTCGCCATTTCGGCCTCGGTTATACATATGTAGGCCCCTGACAACATTTATTGAGATTTTTTTTAATTTAAATATTAAAGGCGATAGGCCGAAGACGGTGCTGACGCCAGAGGCAAAGCCACGATTCCGAGGTTTTACAAAAGTCCCGCGGAATCGATAAAAATCTTGTGATGAAGTCTTCTGGATTCTGGAATCGGTGAAATTTATCTCGTGATGAGTCATCCCTAGAATCGATTAAATTTAACTCATGGTGGTTACACTTGGCCAATTAGCACAACCTGCTTAACTTTCGACCAAAGAGTGACAAGTATAATGTTTCGAGTGTCTTGGTTTTATCAACATTCTATTTTATCGCACAGATCACTGACTTGCTTGATGAGCTCTGCGCCGATCTGCCGTCCGATTACAGCGGCACGTGTAAAGAATACGTGGACGAATGGACGCCGATCATCATCGATTTCATCGAGAACCAGGTACATTTCGGGTCACCACTATAACTCCCTTCTGGGGAAAGTCTGTGTAGGGCTGGGTCAAGTCAAATAATTCACTATTCGAATATTTGACCTTCAATTGGATCGAATATCCGAACATTTGATTGTACCGACTAGCAGATTATTGGTGAACAAACCATATACAAAGATAGTTGTAATAATGCACATATTTGTACATTGTAATCACTTTGATAGCTTCTCATGTCTAAGAGTATCTCCACCCATGATTTAGCAAGGTTAAAGAGACGAACGATCCTGTTGAAAATTTCTTTTCCTTTTAATTTTTTTAAAAAACAATTGACATTTTTTAATCGTAAGATTTCTGTCGCTTTTCATTTGAATCTGCTTGAAACAAGCCTCTATAGTGCAATTTTTGTCATTTAAAACAGAAAAATTCTCCCCTCCTTTCCGCAAATTTTGCATTCGAATATTCAAATTCGGAAAATAATATTCAAATATTCGATAATCAATCGAATATTAGGATATTTGGCACAGCCCTACGTCTGTTCCATTTTCACAGTTTTCCACAGAACATAAGTGTGATCGAAATATTTATTAGATAACCAGTGACTGGAACGTGTCCATCCTGCAAAAAAGTGTGTGGCTGTTATTGCAAAAGTTTATAAAAGAGAAAGACAATTTTCCCTCATCTATTTTCTCTTGTCCCTTTTCCTCGAACACTTTCTCCATTGCTCCTAATTATCCACTTCTTCTGGTCCTTTCTCAGTCATTGTTTCTTCCGACATTGTAAACCCACTCTCTGCTATTCATTTCCTGGATTCTTTAAGCAATCCGACACCCCCAGGAAGTTTCACATTCTAAGCTTCAGAACTAAGCATGAGATCAAGTCTTCAGCAAGGTCGGATCCCTTTCAGTGGATAATTTGTTCTGGGTCGTTTTCTTCCAGACCCCCGAAGAGATATGCCAAGACATGACCCTCTGCGACTCTTCCGAGGTCGAGACTCCCCAGCTGACCCGGTTTGGCCTCGGCCACTTGATGCGCTTCGTCCGCAGGTCATTCAAGAAAAATTTCAACCAAATGAGTACGTTGTTTCATCCGATCTCTTTTTTCGACATACATACACCAAAGGGTGCGTGGCGTCCGAGGCGAGGCAGAGGGCGCTGTACGTCCCCGATGGTGTATACGAAACATATTTCTCCCACGCATCCTGTGCGTCTAAAACTGTTCACATACTGTACACGATGTCAAGAAAACAAACGGAGCTCTGTCAGGAAGAAGTAAACAACCGAAGCTGTGCAATGTTTTTGTTTCTGTGTCTCTTCCTGACGAACGTAACATTGAACATTTTCAACCTATGAGACGATGGTGTACAGAATTTTATTAATGTTAGCTTTTTGTGTGTGCTGGACACTTGACTGTTCCAAACCAATGAGGTTACAGTAGTGATGACGCAAGGAAAGAAACATTAATTTACTAATTAAAAATAAGAACAGACATGAGCGTGTATGATGCATCTAGGAGACCACACGTTAGTGCTTGATGTACTGGTTTAACCAACCAAAGTTTGTTAATTAATTCCAATGTTGAATGGCAGACACATTCGAATAATGTGGCCATTTAAGTGACCAACAATGTGTTAACAGCCAAATTGTGATGACTGTACCTTTTGCAGTGATCAAGAATGCTCTTGGGAACAACTTCTTATGCACTGGGTGTGAAACAGTCGTCTCTGAGCTGCATGATCTTCTTGCCAACGAACAACTCTGGGTAATGACCTTTTTCTGGTTGAGGTGAAGAGCGAACTCAGTGTGCCTGATGCGTTTCGAATGGTGATCGAGGGCGTTATCATTCATTATGATTCATTATGGGGGAAATTCGGGAGGCTTCGGCTGCATCCGAATCTGTTGTCTGGAGCTACGTCTAGGTCTTCGCTCCATTGGCCTTGTGTGAAGACGCGTAGACAATAGACTTAGCCTTAGCCTTTGGACAAAAATTCTTTGCAAGCTGGCACTGATCATCACCCGCGTGTGTACGGAAACGTGTTACCGCCACGCACAATTTTTTTGCACGAACGTACATGTACATGTTAAGGCGCCTTTCCGTGTGCACGTCAGCACTTGCCCCAAGCGTTGCGTGTCCGTCAAAAATATGTTTATGTGTGTGGCGGTAAGTCGTTTCCGTACGTGCACACGACACATCACGTGGTTGTGGCAGTAAACTACCCACAATGCATTGCAGTGGATCTGATTCCATCACACACTTGGCCAGCGAGATAAACCCTTCCAAGCACTCTAAATAAGTCGGCGAGTGCGCGGGAATCAGAGACTAAAGCACGTTCATAAAATGCCCTTTTTGAGCGGTGACTCTGTCTCCTTTTCTACTCATTGGTTTGTTGTTGCAAAGTTTACATAAATATTAAGGAGTAGTTTAAGGAATTGAACATAGTAGTTCGCACAAATATGAAGTTGTAAAACTTGAAAAAGACGGCTATATAATTCTGGCAATTATCTTTACTGCCTGAATAAAATCAGTTTTAATCCTCACGGCGAAATTGGTACACACTTAAATGTTCGCAGACATCGTATTTGAATCTGTTTAAGCTGGACGAGAAGTTAAAATGTCTGACTCTAGGCCTATTTTTATGTTGGTTATTGAGATGTGAAACTTTTCACGTTGAGGTAAACTAGATAGGCTTGCGGTAGCGCTGTGGATATGAATAAGCTGCTTCATCACTGGACCCTCTGCAGTCTACTGACGACGGACAGAGCATACTGTCCGAAACGCAGGTTCTTTTCACAATCCCACATGCTCAAAAAGAGATATATCCATGGTGCCACCGCTAACCTATCTAGTTTACATGTTGCTTCTTGTGTGCTGTCCAGGACGAAATCACCGCGTTGTTGGCCGAGGGATGCGCCATCTGTCCGGTGGAGGCGCAGTGCCGAGCGTTCCTCAAAAATCTCCCCGCCGAACTCAAGGCGTTCGCCGACAATGATTTGGTGAGTGTATCAACTGTAAAAATGGTTGAATCTGCCAGTGCGTACATGCACGGAACTGCGTTAACGCGCTCACCCTATTAAAGTTATACATTTCGATTCGTGAATATCAACAAAACGCGACTGTTTAAAATTGCCGGGCAAAGTCTGCAAACTGTCTACCCCTGTAATAATCAGTTCTTGGGCATTCTTAGAGTGAATGAAGGGCATATCTTGCGCAGAGAAAATAACGTGGCATTAAAGTGAATTTGAATATTCTTTTTGCTTTGTCTTGAACCCGGAGAAAGGTCCCGCAAGAATTTAAAAGTCAGGAAATGTAACTTTTGGGTGCTAAAATCAAGAAGATTTAGAAGGACAAAAGAGCCTTCTGTGTTTATGATTATGTGGTAGTAGGAAACCTTTTATTGGAGTTCAAACCTTTTGATCTTTCCAACAGAATAATCAGACCTGTAAGATCATTGGCTTTTGCCCTTCCAGCCGTCCAGATGACCCGTGGGATATGTTCAGCCAATTTTTCCCGGGTTTCCTCCCAGACTTTGATGCCGACTTCAAACCCCGCGGGCCCTGGTCCAGACGCCGTCCCCGCCCCGACACCGAGCCGGCGCCGAGGCGTCACCCGTTCAGGCCCTTCTTCGAACGCGACCGCCCCGACCATGGTCGAAATCGCAGCGACACGGAAGACCATGATCACAAGCACTGGCCCTTTCCCCGACGCGACCGCCCCTACCACGGTCGAAATCGCACTGACACAGGGGACCACGATCACCAGCACTGGCCTTTTCCCCGACGCGACCGCCCCTACCACGGTCGCAATCGCAGCGATACCGAGGACCGCGATCACCAGTACCGTCCCCACGACCGTGACCGCGACCACGACCACGACCACGACCACCCGCACGGCCGGGACCACGATCGCCCGCACGGCCGAGACCACCCACACCACCGCCGCGACCGGCCGCACCGCGGTCCTCACCACGGTTATCGTCCCGACGACATGCCCGTGCCCGATATCCGGCCGTGGTGGAAACCGGGCATGAAACCGCTCAAACCGGTGGATGTTAGACCGACCCTGCCCGCAGAACCTCTGAATCTGGAGGATGAAATTCCCGACTTCCACAATCCTATCAACGTGGAAGTACCCGTCAACGACGACATCCTCAACGTGGAAATCCCCGACGTCGAAATCCCCCGAGTCCCGGAAGTCGATTTCCGGCCGGATCCCAGAGACCCCTTTGGTTTCAACCGCCAGGACAACCGGCCGCGCCCCCAGGGAACCAAGAACTGGAAGCCGCACCTCGAGAACCGTAAGGGGGCATCACCAGCAAAGCCTTGGTCTCGTTGGGGAAGTAGAAAGCAGCGCTCGATTGCCATCGACACTTGGTTCAATACTGGTAAGCGTGACCGACGGTTTTGGACCAAATAGAAAAAGTATTCCATTGGAAAAATATTTCAAAATTATTGAAAAGAGGTACAATCCGAATTTTGTAGTGCTTGAAAATTTAATTTCGCCACAAATTGTCCAGTGTTAAGTGGACACATTTGGTTATAATAGCGTAATGAAATCATTATCTTATTTATCCTGAAACACTTTTAGGGCTTAACTTAAGACCACGACTCTTATGGCTTATGACCTCGTGATTTAACCTGGCCGGGATACCGTTTTCTTCTCGTGCATATACGCGTCACACTCACTCTCACACTCGCACTCAAAGGCAGGGCTCAAAACGAGCACCGCCTTTGAGTGTGAGAGTGAGTGTACACTGTAAGAAACTGGTCTCATGACGGATCAGAAATGATCTTGCAGCGGTTCAACAGACTTGAGAAACTGGTGTAAAATCAGTTCATCGAATAATCCTTTTGGATAATAAAAAAAATCCTACATTCGGGCGAAAAGGCAAAGAAGTTGCAGTCTGTTCCTATCGTGCAGTGGCAAAGCAAGTTGCACTTGTCTTGGTGCCACAGTTCTTAAATCTGCTTCTTACAACGTGAACCCCCGAGCTGGACTAAGAGAGGGCGCAATTTTCCTAGCAACAGTGTCTCCGTCTGTGGGAACTGCACTTGGGTGGTTCAGTAACGACAGTGATGAAATGCATGCGCTAAGGTCGCGTTGAAAAATTGAACACTCCCCACCAACATGGCTCTTTTCATCCGATCAGGGGGGGTTCTTCTGTTTAAGGCGGATGGCCACACAAAGATGTGCATAATATCTAAGAGGTTAATGGTAAGTGTGGGAATCTCTTTTTTCCGTCCTGTGAAATTCCAGATGACTTTGACCAGACCAACACTTTTGATGTTGAACCAGAAACCGAGAATGAGGACGAACCCATGCAGCAGCTAGTTGAGGTACCGATCTCACGCTTATCGAATAATGGCATTCGAAGAATTATCAAATTAGATCTGCGGAAGCGGCATTTCGTTTTAGCGCAAAAGTTCAGGAGAAGCGATACTTTTTGAAAAGCATACCGTACATCTATGAAAGAGGGAATATTCGGTTTATGTACATAAAAGTATATTTAACAGTAGTTGAACTGAAATCCCACAAAATGGTTCAACTTTACTTCAATTTCAGGGAAAATGTCTTTTCGTGCCTTACGATACTTTTTTATGGTTTGTTCCAGTCGTCTTGGCAGTGCGACGTTTGTGAGTACGAAGTTGATATTCTCCAGAGGTACATGAGAGAGCACGAGGTGAGTGTAAATACATGTATTTGTTTTGTCGATTTCGTTGAAACTGATGAAATGTTTTATCCATGGGCGTCGCCAAGATTTGTTCTGGAGGCGAACCACTTTTCCCCAGAACATTTTATGGCAACGTGTAAAGCACTTAAAATAAATGCTTAATAGTTAAAAGCTGGAGGGGGGGGTCAATTTTCAGTATTGCTCATGATCTTAACTTGAAACACAATGCATATGGTATTATGCAAATGAGAATTTGTATAAATTGAGTTTGCATCTTTCCGTTACTTCATTTTATCAACACGGCATCAACGACCAGAATGTGCAGTTTAAATATTCGCCGCTACTTTTTTTTGGATCTACAGGACGCCATTAACGCGAAATTGCTTTCACTGGCTAATCTGTTCTGCGAGAGACTCCCCGCAGCCAGCACTGCCGAGGTAAGTCGAGCAGGGCCGCCACTGCAAAATGATCAGGGAAATACCTAAAGATGCGAGATACGTTTTCAGCTGTCTGTCACACACACATCTGTGTCGAGAAACTGTTTTTTGGGGCTGAATCACTGGTTGACATGTCGTAGTGTAGGATCCGTGGATGTGGCAGGAATCAGTAACGGCACCTTTTTGGCTCCTGGAATTCCGACTAAAATAAGATTTTTTCTCTCCATCGAGAACGTGACTATAGTAAAATACTTAGGGACTCAAATCTGTCTAACATCATCATCAGAAATATAAGATAATATCATTACATGTTGCCCTAAATGACACCCCCAAGTTTTTCCTCATAATTGAGTTACGTACTTGTAAGCATTTGTCTGACTTTTTGGCTTTTTTTCCGCCAGTGCAAGAGCGAGTTTGCAGAGCTTCTGCCCCCCATCGTTGACATGCTCATCGAGACCTATATGACTGCAGACACCGTGTGCAGCGCCCTCGAGATCTGCTAAACCGCACCGAGTGTCATCCTGTCTTCAGACCGACGTTCTTATTGGCTTAGAAAGGTGCCGAAAGGCACTTGTGGCCAATAGGCTATGAACTTGATTCGTGTGTGAGGTGGCATGTTAAGGAGTGTTTAAACGTTAGGAAAAACAGCCATTTTTATATTTTAATAATGAATCAATGCGTTGCCGACTCCATGTAACCGCAAGGATTTACATAAGTTAGTACATGTATACTGCAGCGAGCGTACTAGTCTAAAGCCGATTATGTTTTACCAAGTACTGCGATATTGTGTATGTGCCCCAGGAACAATGTACCCATCTATACGTTCGTTAAAGTCTTCCAGCAAGCAATATAGTCTGGTACCTGTGAAGTGGAGCAGCAGTTGCAGTTTTAGTGTAAGGAAAGTCGCTCTGTACGCACTTAATATTTTTCAACCGTGTGCCGACTGTGTATTGTGGTACAGGTGATCCTGACATCTTCCATTTTTTTTCATTCCTAAAATAGTCAAATGTATGCTTCACGGAGGGATCTGGTAACAGGATTTAATACTCCAACGGAATATTCCATTCAGTCTCCCAGGGTATATCTTATCAGTTACATGTACATGCAAAGCAAAATAATAAACATGCATTACTTCTAAATTTTCGGTCTTTTTTCGTACTCGGTTATCCAACTTCGTGTTGAATTTGTTTATTAAATAAAGCAAAACGATACTTAAAGATTCTGTGTTCTGCGAGTTATATTCAGTCTCCTCGTACATCTTTGATTGACGTTGTAATTCCCAACTTTGAAATTGCATTGTCACTAAAACCAAAAGAAGTAGTTTTTTGTTACTTGCCAAAAATTAAGAGAGAACATGTGAATTGAAACTTCACTAGGAATGTTAGTGATCGGGTTTATCTCGATTCCTGTGCATTTTTTGACATTGGGAACGCTTGGCAATCATTAGTCAGAACTATTCAATTTGTATGATTCAAAATGCGATTCTAGATTTACTGAAGCATAAACTAACCCCGACAACTTTAACGTCATGATGACGTCACCGAGTTTCGAATTCCAGACACTTTTTTCTGTCATGTTCGGGCTTAGGGATCTGATCTAAAGGCAGAAGTGCCAGAGGTTGCTTTGTGGATTTAACAGAGGGCAAAGTGAGTTGAACTTCGAAACAAACTGATACTTCAAATCGAAACACGAAATGCAACGTGCATACAGCAGAACACTGTTGCAACGAGGTCTAAGGGACTTAACATTACAACGACCTCTTCCTTACTGGTAATTCGAAACGAAGAAATATAACAGCCGGGGACCTAAAATTGCCCTTGTTATATACTGGCGTAAATTTGTGCCGGCAATTGGGAGGGGGGGGGACTGGATAGGGAAAGGTGGGGGATGATACAGTGTGACTATATAAAGGTCAATGTTCATGATAAAAATGTACATATGTAATATGTATTCAGAATGGCATATTTATGGCTTATTGAAAGTTTTCCCTTTTTGGAGCGATATTTAATGCATTTGAATCGTTGGAAGTCTCGGTAAAATTATTCATAATCCACTTGAAGTTTTTGCTTACCACAAAAAAGTGTGTGTCTGGGGGGAGGTATCCCCATTTCCCGGGGTTTAAGCCCATGGTTTTAAACATGACGTATTATTAACGGTGTTTTCTCAGTGTTCGACTGACTATACATGCACATTGTATAACGCACAACAGTGAAGGGGTCGTACTGACATCGGGTCCCAACAGTTCCCTGTCTTGATCGCTTGTCCAGCCTTGTTCCCACTTCAAGCTTGCACTGTGTCTCGAATTCCCTACAAAAACATCCGACGGGAAGATGGTCGTTCAGATCACCGTCCTGGTCCCGTCAGGCCTCGAGTTCACGCACTTGTCAAAACCGTATTCTTTCCCTCGAGATATCATCAGCTCGCTGTGTCTCGCGAGGGCGTTGCGGAAAGCCGTGCTTTTACAGTTTTGCTCCTGGGAATTTTTGAGTCCTCTTCGATACGGATACGAAATACTGCCGCTGCCGAATCGGCAAAGTGACATTATATGACTTATGATATATGACATTATATGACATAGTGACATTATGACATACGCTGTGGTGCCGATCACAAGCCAATTTTCTTTTCACTTAAGTAACGTCTAATCGTTTACGGTGATCATTAACAATACGACGAACTACGACCGCCCACTGATTTCCTCAGAACTCCATCCTCTTCGATCGGTAAATCTTGGATGTTCTTGTCCGGGCACGATCATACGCAAACATCCTGGTGAATATTTTAGGGATGTATAATCTTGTTATCCCAAGTCCTCCTTTACATACAGGTGTGGAAACAATGCGCCATCGGACGGGAGAGCAAAAACACTGGGGGGGGGGGGCTTCGCAAGGCATCCGCTCTCGCTGTGAGTTACGGTTTGGGCTGGAAAAGATAACATTTTAGAACTGTTTATCTGCAACAAGGGGTTCCTGATCGCAGACCCTCTCTAAATCTTGACTCTTGTGGCCAGAAACAAACAGATTCACGCAGATGTGGGTACTGTCGCTAGACCAATGACCTGTTCTCGAATGCATAATTCTTAAGACTGTACTCTCAAAATCAGAGTTGCAATGACTCGAGTCAGTGACTTGACTCGAGACATCGACTCGAGTCACAATTTTTGCTGACTGACTCGAGTCCCGATGGGTGAATGACTCGACTCAAGTAGCTGCAAGCAAATGACTTTACTCGACCCGAGTCCTTCATCAGAATACTTGACTGTAAGTGAAAGTTACTAAGACTCCAGTCCTAAAATTAAAGGCCAAATTCTTTGCGAAAAAAATGTGCGCAGTGCCCTGTGCCTATTTATGATGTTTGTGCCATGTGTTATCAAAGGAAAGATTGTGAAGTGACCACATGTAGACCTCAGAGGTCAATTTAAAAATGCCCAAATGACTTTCTCTCTTGCTTTTGTTTATCGTATTGTGTTCAAATATTATATTGGTGACTCGAATTGACTCGAGCTAAATACCTGACTCGACTTTCTTGCCTAATGACTCAACTCGACTCGATTCACCACATTACAATAACTCGACTCGACTTGAGTCGCTATACGTCTGCTCAAAACGATTACAAAAAAGCAATTCAAGTTGTAAGTAAATCACCAAAAATACATACACGAGTATTTTGCTTCCGCCCACAGCCCTGCGTGCGTGTGCATGCGCGTTTCTATCTTGGATAATGTATCATAGATTGCATTCGGAACGCCGAAATGAATAAGTTCCTTGCCCCCAGGAAATCCGAAAGCTGAGGAAACCAAATTCCTTGCTTGGTATACAAGCAGCGTCCAGGCAGCAGGTTGAATCTCCTGAAGTTATGAAAGGAAATGGCAGAACAGTGTCCGGAAACATCGGGTGGACAAAAACTGGCAATCCGATTATGGGCCTATTATTGAATTACAGAAGCCTGTCCTCTCTAGTTTCACCTGGAGGCGCTGCAGATTTCAATCAGAACACTAAAACCGGTTGCAAATCGTGTCTTCCCAGCAGTTCTGAACTGGCATTTATCACCTTTTTCTCTATTTTAAGCGTTGTTGAATTCCAGCTTTTCAGATCGTGCCCCCTTTGCCCATAGGTTGATTTTGGTGAGTTTAAACGTTTACAGATGGTCAAATTAACTTGGAGGATGAAATCAAAGACGTTAAAAGGAAGAAATTCGAGGGGTTCACACGCACGCGTAAGTTGAGCTAAAAAATATAAATGACGGTAATATGACGTCTTTGACAGGCCCAAAGAAGCACCAGTTTGACAGGACTCCTCGCGAATGATTCGCGAATCGACGAAGAACAGCTCGTTCGAATTGCAGAAGAAATAAAAAAAAATGGCCGAGGCGGAAACATGACAGCGTGGCGCAGGAAACGCGGACGCGGTCTATTTAGCTCTCTGACGGGTATTAAAATGGTTCGAGAGTGGTGTGCGATATTGACCGATGTCCGACAAAGAAAAGTAGTCCGGGTCGAAGCGCGCTTTTTGCATCCTACTTAAAAGAGAACTACTTCCGACCGCTTCAAGATTGACGTGTTTTGAAAAAGGGATATATGTGGGTGGTATTTTTACAAACTCAAGTCATATTGACGGCCAGACACGTCCTTAGAGGGAATCGATTCAATGTTTAATACTGATAGAAGAACCGAAAGGATATTTTTCTTGGATCGAAACCTTGGGAATAAGAAGATTTGTACGTCTTGAAACATGGATATCCAAGATTGCAAGATTCAGTAAAAAAGTGACACTCTCAGGACTAAACACTCTCTACAGGACGACCACCGAGTGTATGTGGCCCCGGCGTGTATAAAACTGAACCAATGTAGGCCTAAATGTCTGTGCATAGAATTTAAACAGCCATAATGCCATATTCACCTTGGCCTTGGTCATAGAGGAAGAGCCTATGCGGTGTCATGTTTCTTATGCACCCCCAGAGAAGCATTATAGGTTATCATTTAAAGTTTTTGCCATTTCAAAAGGTATAGATTGGAAATTGGGCCTTCGGGAACAAAACTGTTCGGTCGTTATATTCTAGATAGAAACCTCGAATGGAGAACGTTGGAAATACGGGCGATTCACAACAATGCGCCTCCAAGAGTTTGCATTGCGTTGGCCAATCACAGCGGCCGAGTTCGGGCGGCTTGTTCTCGTATGTTCACGAACAGCTTGATTTGTTGTTCTTACGTCAGCTGCTCGAATGCCGGGAACGTACGACTGATTATCGCTGGTAGTTAGCGACATGAAACATGGCGGCGTCTATGTACGTTATTCGAGAGTTTATATTTGGTTAACTGGGCTGAATTCTTTTCTGTTTAAACACGAACATTCAGTTCTGTGTTATGGAAAATAATGAATGTCAATTTTGAAAAACTTCCCATTGTCTCTGGCTCTGTAAGCCATGTCGCTCTACTTTTTGCCACGTTGTTCAAAAATCAAAATCACTCGAGTTTTTCCATGTGTTCCTGTAAAACCCTGGCGAGGGGGCGGTGTACGATCCTGTTCCGAGAACAGTGTTCTTGGGTTGTTTTCCCTTTGTTTGAACGCGAAAACAAGAAACCCGCGTTAAGAACGGGTCGTCCAAACTCGACCAATTGGCCAACGCGTTGTAAATGCAAACTCTTCGAGGCGCACTATTGTGAAACGCCAGTATAGAGCCTGAAAGTAAAAGGTCACGCAGCGAGCTTCCGGAACCCTCGCGTGGTACTCCTGTGGGGATTTTACGTTGGGGTGTCCTATCACGTTCGATAATTCATGGAAGAATGATTCCTAACTGAAAACACCCCATGAAACATGTTGGAATTTTACCTTTGTCTTCCTCAAGTAATATTTAGGAAAAGTCACATGGAGATAGGTAAAAAACGAATTTTCTTAACGACCTTTCACTTCCGGCGATATCGTACTTATAGGTTTCCATGTTCATGCTCGTTTGTTTTCATTGCCCGTGCTTACGTAAAAACGAGGTTGTACAACGTTGCAAAGATTTACCTACTTGCAGTCGATGGGTTCCAGATTCCGTTGAGTTGAAATCACGCAGTTGTTGTCAGCAAAGATTAGATAAAGATTAGAATCTTTCGTAACTGAAGTAGAATATTGCTTTAATTTTGCTACTTATAAATTACAAGGCAGTTAAAAATATTTTGATGTGTTTTTATTTTGGTTTTTACCGACAGACTACCATAAAATTTCAAACCGTAAATATTCATCTGCGTACGAGACTGCCACATTGAACTGTTCTTCATGTATTTTAGATTTTCGGAGGTAATGGGTCAGTTTTTGGCAGGATGTTTCTCTTTTTTTCAGTTTCTATAAATTGAGATACTAGCAAATATTTTCCAGAGCCCCTTTTCCGAGTTGGATTTTTTTAAGAAGTAACTGAACGAAAAAATATTACACATTCTAAAATCTTTGCAGGTTATTTTTCCTATCCAAGGGTTCCGGAAGCGCGCCATCAGGGGTCAACTTTCAAGCTCCATTGCAACAATGTTGTTTACTTCGGTAAATCATAGCTGTGTAAGTATACAGCAGTGAGGCCATTGACCAGCCCTTCCTCAGAAATGACATCACCAACAAACGGCACCAACAACACCGCCACCACCAACGGACGACAACATATCATTGGAGCCTTTAAATGTTTAAACGTTTCCAAAATATTCCAGGGAGCAGTAATTTGTGATTCGTCTCCTGAAATGATGCTGGCTGCATGGCCAGTATACTGGCCCCCAATAGCAGGGCCACTTTTGTTGACAAACAACATTCAGATCTGAGGGATGCTGCAAGTTGTGCGTCCGTACAGACTTGGATAGCTTCGATTGATATAACTCATAGTCCCGTGCCTAAAGAAAACATAAGCCCATACAACATGTCGGCAGTTTCTGGCCAACTGCAGTCTGTTGGTTCAGTCACGTCGCAAAATAGCCGTGTAAACATCGAGGACTCACACCCTGCGTGCTGATATTAAACGGACACCAAGGGGGGGGGGGACAAGAAAAAAGATATCGCCCCGGCAGTCACACCGCGAGCAGCCGAACCCACGGCGGTCTGGGCGGGATGACAGCTGGTAATAAATTGCTGTTGCACCTAGCCCTTGAATTTGGAGTGCCTGCTCGCTACCGTTTACAAATCGCTTGTAAAGCCGTTACGCATGATATCTCCCTTATTATATTGTTGATGTATGTCAGGGCTGCCTCTGGGCTTGGTCAAGGCTCAAATCTCATGACTCTAATAAGGTGAAGGTGGACCAGTTTTCATCGCTGCAGCCAAGAAAAGTAGTAAAACATCATGAAATGAGTTCTGATCATTGGTGCAAATTCACCAGTGCAGGTTTTTTTTTCAAACACCACCGTGTCCCGAGAGCTATAAGCCGTACATTCCTAAGCTGTGCTGCCTCACTGCGGTCTTTTGCGCATGCGAACTAATCACTGTTCGCATTCACGAAACAACTGCCAGACGCGTTTCTGTGTTTCTATCAATAATGCAAAAGGCGTCATTCGTTGGGAACATTCTCACGCGCCCGGGCAACGATCGTCACTGCGCATTCTCCACAGCCAGGCTTCCAGCAGACGATCTGGACACGGTACAACTATTCTTGGCGGGAAGCGACGAATCTCGTGGTGACAAGAAACAGGCAGTGCGCGCTACGAGTGGCGGGACTGTGCAGCTATACAGTCGAAAGTTGCCTGCTAATCGCCAAAACGTAAACATGATCACTTCGTGAGCGGCTTGAAAGAAACAACGTCCAGACAGACGCTGATTTCGGGTGTTAAAACGTAGACGCTGTTCTGCCAAATCTGACACGTGTTCGTGACTCCACTGTTCTGTGGCCCCCGGAAGAATTTCTTTAACACCGGGTCTGTGGACGGCACTTTGACGCTCAGGTACGTAGATCTTTTGTCTCAAAGTGTTTTTATAATCCACAATACCATTAGAATTGTTGACATTTTTCCTCGTCTCGCCTGAAACGGGTATCTAAATCGTTGTATCTTTGTAGTCAGCATGCCAGAGCGTGGTCTCCATTATGCACAAGAATGAAGAGGATGTTTATGAATGGCGTTTTGGCGTTAAGGAAGGGGAATAATTTGAACATTTCCGAGAACTCGGTGTTGTTTAAATCGAAACGAAGACAAAACCAGCGTCGATAGTACGAAGCTTTTTTTTTTTTTTTCATATTCTAAATCTTGTAAAAACGACTGCGAGACCGATTTGGTACATATCGTTCAACGTAGCACAGCCTTGGAAAATGTCGAAGGTCCTAGCAAGTGCACGCCAAGGAATGTGCCGAGTCCAGTCCGATGCCCCGGCCTCGGAATTCTGCAATAGCTCATTCACGTTGTCCTCTTCCCAACGGGTTACATATAAACCCTTGAGATATTGGTACTACCGCACTCGCTCAAGCTGTATACATTTTTAATTATAGACACACGATTAGTAGTTAAAGAAGGGATCTTAAAAGAAATGGCGACTTAGCTACGATTTCCGTCCGTTCGATCCGCCAATCGATTCAGACGCTATTTTCATAAAAAACGACTGCGGTGCATAAACTGGTCGAATTCTCAAGGTTGGAGTACTGAGAAATGACAAGCCCGAATACAACCGGCAAAGACCCCCCCCCACTCCTACAAATAACAAAAGGAACCCATATAATTAATTTTGTATCAATTTTGTCAAGCCAGCGAGAGAATTGACGGTACGGTTATCATTATATTGGATCGAATCTAAAATCTGAGAGAAAAAATATTGTCATGCACGAGGCCCCAATCAATCTTGCACGTCCATTTACATTTCAATGAAATTCAAATTCAACCTTCTTCAGGTAATCGATATGAATTGGACTTAGCATGTAGAAATCCAAATGGGAAATCATTGATACTTTCCGCAGGTTCTCATCCATAAAAATCTCTTCCTTTAGGGAGAAATTTTTCAATCAAGATAGATGTCTTTTGGATAGGCCTATGTATCGAATTAGCGAATCCATTTATGTTTGGGGCTTGCAGGTTTTTCTTCCGATCGCCAACAGCATAAATCTCAAACGTCGTATCATATATCGTCTGTAGCTTACCACGTTGGAATGATATCCATACGCCGAGTCATTAGGGCATTACTGATTCCCAACAGAATTGCAAACAGCACAAAACGCAATAAAAGTCCTTATCAACATGGTAATCTAAAACAAACCCGAAAAAATCGCTTTAATTTTTATATTATTGATTTGTCATATATAAGCTTATCTCTTTGAACACCTGTTATTCTGCTTGTAAAGGTGGTTGTATCGGCATGCTTAGTAGCTCACTCTACTGTACACATAATGAACAGCCATGTAGTGTCCAACATCTGAGGCTGGCGCTAGTTTCTCCCTCTATATTAGCCCTGGTGTAACCTAACGTACCGCCCCTTTCGAGTAATTGATCCGTCCCGTCTTTGGGCATTCTAGAGTATGGTACCACTGGAGCCTATACGCTTCCTCACGTTTGGTACCGTTGGCCGTGTAACTGTAAGGTACTGTGTGCAGTCTATGTATACGTTTCTGCAGGCAATGAAATCTGGGAAGTGTGTTTTCACAAGACAGCTTGTGTTTGCGCTGAAGTGAATTTAGGGTACCTGCAGAAAAAAAACCACTTTGAACTTAATTCATTGGTGGTATGGTGCCGAGTTTTTGAAAGCTGTCCACCGTATCACGAGCATTTCGGACGGGAGACGAGTCTAGCACGTTCTTCAAATGCACCTCACATAACAATTACCCGTTCGATAGTCATCTGCACATGCGTCCTTCTGAACACTCGGTGAAGTATTGCACGAAATAGAACGCATGCGCGAACATTGCCCTAGGTACAAGTACTTAAAAAACAAAAACAACACAACAACAACAACGACGACAACAACAACAACTGTATCAATTCCCAGTAGCCAGAGGATTTCAAATCGACTATCGACACTGCAACCATATTTTTTGCAGTGTTATGAAAATCCCATTCAACTTCGAATTAAAAAACTCATGACGTCTGAGCACACTGCGATGTCGGTACCCTCAAACACAAGCTGCGACATTAATTACGATCAAGCACATCCACCAAAGCATTAGCGTCCGTCGTAAATTAATTGTCTGAAATCACTTAAATAGTAAAAACATAGCTTGCTATGTAAATAACTGCAACTGCTATAATTCTCACGAGATAATCAAAGTTTAGTTGAACACATCAACAGAAAGCGTCTTTTTTATCCCTAATATCTTATTCATTACTACCGCCAGTCACGAGTTCAAAATGAAAGGATACCCGCGGAATTCTTTTTATAGAAAAGCAGCGTGCGGACGGGGCCGAATTATCCATTAGGCATTGCAGGTCCTGTTCCTTATTAAAGCCAACGAAAATAAAATCCTGAGCCTGTGAAAAATTCGAGGGTCTAAAAATGCCACAGTGTAATCCGACGACCACAGTGCGAGGAACTTTGACAAGGTCCTTTTGCATTGTTGCATGTTCAATGTTGTGATGCTAATAATAGAAAAATACCTCGCCATGCTTGCTGCCACCACGCGTTTCAAACTTCAAAGGCCTCTCTATAGATGACATCACCATGGTGCAATATTTCCATTACGTAACAGTCGGGGGTCCACGGTGTATATTCCTCTGGGAAAGTGATTTTCTTGCAACTTGCCACCGCTCGAAGTCGGATGACGCGTCTGTCCGATCTAACTTACTTTGGGGGTGTTACATCTGTGGGTGCGTTCGATCAGCTAATACACAGGGGATGGGGATGGCCTGCGAATAGGGACAAAGTTAAACCTGAGTTAACTCGTGGAAGCTAATCGAACGCACCCATTGATCTCCATTATATAGACTGGATAGGACATCGCTCATCGTGCTTGCACAAAATGCGCGGCCGAACAATGGCGGCGCGCTGCGCTTCGGGAGGGTATATAATTGAATCTGCTTAAAAATGAACAGAACCGAATCTGCTTGCCCTGGCGAAGGTACCCGGCATCGAAAGCTCGGCATTTACACAGTTCAGAGCACTGATTATATATTATATTTTTGTCTAGATAAGGGGTATAATACACTGCGTGTACAGTGTGCAAGCACTTTATTTATCAGTGATTGTGTTTTATCTTGTTAGAAACAAAGCACCCTTCGAGAACTAGTGGACCTTTTCCCGAGCTTTTCATATCTTTTTTTCTCTTTCCTTCACAAGAAAATATTGAATGACTTTATCCGTAAAAAGAAAATATATACTCACGCGAGAATTGAATCCGATTTATTCACATGCTGAATAAGTTTAATTCAAATTGACATTCACAAGCAAACTATAATTTTGAATTAATATGCGAAGCTCCTAAAAAGTGCTTAAGTTGTAAATATACAACTATTTTCCGTACAAAATGAACGATCAGTATTAATGGAAGTGCAGAGCACTTCTTTTCCTTTTTTCTCAAATAAGCAGCAAATTACCGAGAAGAAAATGTACACGGCTATGATGTATAATCAGTGTCTAAAAAAGGAACGGAAATACTCATCATTAAATGACATGTGGGAATAGCACATTATATGTGGGAAATTCAATTTCGAGATTGGATTTCTTTGAGCTCCGTTGCTGGATTTTTTTTTACTGTGGGTGTAATGTTTGAATAATCCAACTCATGAAAGCATAATTGAGAGTCCGTGAGATTGGTAAGACAAATTTAGTTAATAATCAAATATCAAAAAAGCTTCTGGTCTTCGCTAATGAGCTTCATTTGCACCAACTCTTCAGTCATAGATGCAAGGGATTTATCTCTTCTCACCAATCTTGAGTTGTTTTTTATTGGGGGGGGAACTCAATTCTTGTTTCGTAGCTTTCAACTCACTCTTTAGATCCTTGATTTCCTTCACCAAATTACCCATCGTGTCTTTTGTTCCTACATTTTGAAAAAGGCATGTACCGATTTAAATATTACATCATGAGCTAATTTTCCAAACTGATCCAGCAATTGCAAAATATAAAAGAGGAATTTAAAGCAATATTCTCCCTAAAATGTGTATCGAAGAAATGCGTAATGGAAGTAAGTTACACTGACTGGATATTCCTGTTTATTTGCTGAGGCGTGGGTGTGGCTCTGGGTAGTTGGGCATCAGCCACAAGGGAAGTTAATGTGCTCCTTTTTACCAAAATCTGGCAATTGAAATACTCTGGACAGCAAAAGAAACTTGCCACTTCTGTCAAAGGCCTCACATAAAAAATTAACTACATAGAAATAAACAATTTTTGTACACAGGAATGCTGCAATACCCCTTACTAATCACATGCCCAAAAGCAAGTGATTATCTTTATAACAAAGATGAAATTGACATGCCCAGCAACTTGGTTACTGAATCAAAAGTCACAGAATGTAACAGAATGAGCATGCGGGGCTTGAGTACCAAAGGACTGAGCAAAGGACTGTCGATTTCATGTCAAAACACGCCCTCGTTTGTTCCTGCTCGGAGCGGATAATGGAGAAAGAGTGACAGATAATCAAAGGCCGGACACGCGTGTCAAGTCTATCCAAAGTGCGCGCCAAACATGAGAACGCACGAGGCAAGCGGATGACCACCGCCACTTCTCCACATTTTTACCTGATTCCGACGAGTGGAAGGGGATGACCAAATCCTAAAGTTGCCTAGCCGTGGGGGGGGGTGCAGCCTGAGGAAGGCAGAAGGCTGGACACCATGCTACTTGAAGGGACGCTGCTCACGATACCGGTGTTCATCTTAGACTGCTTGCGCCTGTATTTACCTCAAGGCGACTTAGTTCATGCACGGCTTTTGGTCCGTTCCGTAGCCGCATCCATAAAGTTCGCTTCGAGCCTGTACAATTACAATGAACACTCTTTAATATACAGACAAGAGGCGAACCGAAAACGCGTCAA